GTCTCTCTGGAGACTAAGGTGCGTCTGATACAGGCCATGGTCTTCGCAATCACTTGTTATGCATCGGAGTTGGACAATGACCAAGGAGGATAGAAGGAGAATTGATGCCTTTGAGCTGTGATGCTGGAGAAGAGTATTGAGAGTACTGCTAGGAAAACAAACAGATTCATCTTGGAGAGGGTTAAACTGGGTTCCCTGGAGGCAAGGATTCTGAGGTTCCATCTAACATACTTTGGACATGTTGTAAGGAGATACCAGTCCTTGGAGAAGGACATCATGCTTGGTAGGGTGGAGGGACAATGCAGGAGGGGAAGGCCCTCTATGAGGTGGATTGATTCAGTGAGTGGGATAATCAGGATGGGAGTGTCAGAGACAGTGAGATTGGCACAGGACAGAGCAGAGTTTAGGGCTGTTGTACATAATAGGTTTGCTATGAGTCGCTAGAGACTCGATGGCACATAACAACAACAACAACAACGAGAGGAGATTAGAACATTTCTAGGCAGACATATCCAAATTGTGAGAGAGACACCATCTTTGGGCTAATGCTACAATTCCCTACAGCCTAGGCCACTAGAGTTCTTTAGATTATTAAAGGGTCAATTAAGCAAGAAGACTTAGCAATCATAATATATATGATGTATCCTGTCTCCATACCTTTTCGATTTATATGCAGAACAGGTTCATTTCAAGGACTGGACTTTTTGAATAGAAATGCGGCACTAAGTTTGGAGGAAGACTCATCAGCAACTTGCATTACAGAGATGGCACCACCTTTATTGCTGAAACTGAAAAGGACCTCCAGCATTTGCTGCAGAAAGCCAATGACAAAAGCCTTCAATATATATTGAATTTCAACATGAAGAAAATAAAGATTCTCACTCAATTGGACCAATTGACAGAACCCATGATAGATGGAGAAAAGATTGAGGTTGTTAATAATTTAAGCTTGCTTGCGTCCACAGTCAACACTTTTGACACCAGCAGTCAGGAAATCAAAAGACAGATTGAACTGGTGAAATCTGCCATTAGGGACCTCTCCAGAGTGATAAAGAGCAACTATGTCAGTTTAGAGACCAAGGTGCTATGATTCAGGCTATGGTTTTTGCAATTACTTGTTACACATTAAAGAGCTGGACAATGACTAAGCATGATAGAAGAAGCAGCATTTTCTTTGAATTGTGGTACTTGAGAAGAGTATTGAACATACCATGGACTGCTAAGTTTAAAAACCCAAATCTGTCCTGGATAAAATCAAGTTCCTCCCTGGAGGCAAGGATTGTTTCATCTGATATATTTTGGGCATATTTCTAGGAGGGACCAGTCCTTGGAGAAGGACATCATGCTTGGAATGGTGGAGGGACAGTCTAGGAGAAGGAGACCCAAGATGAGATGGATTGACACAGTAACTAGGGTAATGGAGGTAAGTGTGTCAGTGGCAGTGAGATTGGCTCAGGATAGGGCAGGGGTTCAGAGCTATTGTGCATAGAGGCGCTATGAGTTGCAGGCAACTAGACACCAAATAACAATAGCAACAATATATGCATGCAATAATAGATTATCTCAATATAGAAACTAATCACTCATAGAACTGAAGGGAACAATAGATGACAACTTCAACATACTACTACTACCACCAATATTAAACATCATCTAGAAAGAAGATCAACAGAGAAATAAGACCTAAATGAGAGCATAAACCATAAAATGAAAGTTGAGGTTTGTGTTGACCATCAGTCATTTACACTGTTTCTATGTGTAGGAAGAAATTAATCTTAATTTGGCTATTTGTGAGTTTTTGATACCCTAGTTGCTACTCATCAAAGCAAAATGTAGAACATTGGTTTTGTGCACTATGCTATGACAAGTCATCTCAATGTCAGCTGAGGGTGTGGTGTAGGAGATATTTCAACCATGATGTATAGGATTCCTGTATCATTCCTGACTATCTCATTCTGTCCACTGCTGAGAGGACTGCTTGGGAATTGAATACTGACAACAGCTTCTCTGGTTCTCTAAGGTTTATCATTCAGAGTGTCTTCCCTAGCCAACCATTAACTATTTATTTTGTGCTGAAGTATTTATTGTATTAATAAGATATGAGGATGGGATACAAGTGCTGCACTCCTGTTGTGGTTATGTGCCATTGAAACTTATAGCAACTTTATCTACACTAGCTCCGAAACCTGCCCTATCCTGAGCCAATTTCATCATCTCCGACAGGCCCAATTCCATTTCTCCAGTCACTGAGTCAACTCATCTCATCTTTGGTCTTCCTCTCCTGTGCTGTCCCTCCACCCTTCCAACTATGATGTCCCTCTCCAAGGACTGGTCCCTCCTGGTCATGTTCCCAAGATATGTGAGATAGAGCCTCAATATCCTTGCCTCCAGGAAGCAGCCTGGTTTCACTCTCTCCAAGAATGATTTGTTTGTTCTCCTAGCAGTCTACAGTATGTTCAGCACTCAACTCAAAGACTTTGATCTTGAGGCTCAATCCTTCTTTTATCATCCTTACTTATTTTCTAGCTCTCAGATGCATAGCAAGTAATTTCAAAAACCATGGCCTGTATCAGGTACACCTTAGTCTCCAGACTGACATTGTTGCTCTTCAGTACCCTCGAGAGGTCTCTGAGAGCAGACTTTCTTGACGCAATTTGTCTTTTGATTTCCTGACTGCTGGTGCCAAGGTTGTTCAATATGGAACCAAGCAAACTGAAGTTATCAACAATCTCATTCTCTTCTCCATCTATCATGAAACTGCTATCATGAAACTGTCCCAGTGGTGTTGAAGAATCATTAACAACATGCGTTATGCAGATGAACAACCTTGCTGGATAAAGCTAAAGAGGACATGAGGTGTTTGCTACAGAAGGTCAAGAACTGTAGTCTTCAATATGGATTGCAGCTCAACATCAAGAAAACAAAGAGTCTCACCAGTGGGCCACCCTAATAGTGGCCTGTATAAGTTCATGTGACCTCAGTGCTAGTCTCTGTCACTCTTTTGGGATGCTTATACCCCTGGGACGTAGCATGCAGCTGCATCCCAACTAATAGCCTGTAGGATCCTGGCCTATCACTCATCAGACTCTGCAACACTGGCCTACAGCACATACGTCATGATCCAGCTGCACCACAGCTGACAATCTACAGGATCCTGGCCCATTCCTCACCAGTGTATGCAAAGCCAGCCTGCATGCCAACGTCATGTGAGGCATCTTCCTGACTGCTCTGAGTCTTTGGGAGACCTTATAGTGAACCACCGAACCCAACAGACATAGAGAAGCCAAGACCTGAACTAAGGAGGAAATGTTAATTCTAGAAATCATGGAACCCCACACTCAATCTAAAACTTTGGAAAACTCCCAAGAAAGATGGTTCCCTGATTAGCATCACCTAATCCAATTGAGTGACTGCTCTCTTTGGAAGGGCAAAGCCTATTGATTCAGCTTCTACAGAGCAAGAATTGGAAGAGCGGCTACAGAAGAAACAGGAGAAATTATGTCAGTTAGGTGAATTCCAAACTAGAAAGATGACCTTGGAAGAGACTCCCAAGATGGAAAAGTGAAGAAACTCAGGAACAGCATTGGTGGAGGACAGGAAATGAGTCATTGCAAGCTGGTGTCTCAGCCATATCTGGTAGAGATGCATTAAGTACACAATATAAAAAGATTGAAAATTTAAACAGTAAGGAGGAAGATTATCACACTCCAACCTCCAAGCATCCCAAACACAACCAGCCTGTAAAAGTAATGTCAGCCAGCCCCTCCAGCAAAGGAGAATTTTTTTTTTAAAAAAAAGAAGTTCTAACCCAGAGTGCCAATCCCTACAAGTGCTGGGGGAAAGTGGCAAAGGCTTTAGCTCAACCACTTAAAAGAATACCATCAAGAAAAGATGACAATAATATAGATGAGGGAGTATACTAAAGGGCCAAGAGAGAACTCTAGTTGTGGTCTAGGAGATAGAGAGAACGCCTGGAAGGAATCTGACAGGTGAGATGGCAAAAAGAATCAAGACTTGTGATCTACAACTAAGCCAAAAAAATCTAAAGAGAATCCAGTTACCAAGTTCACTTCTACAAGCTGCTTTCCCAGTTGAAGTGGCTGTTGTTGTGAGGTGCCATCAAGCTGACTATGACTCATTGCAACTCTGTGAAACACAGATCTGAACCTCGTCCTGTCCTGCCCTATCCTCATGATATGTGATATGCCCAAGCCCCTTGTTACAGTCACTGTGCCAATCCATCTCATTGACGGCCTTCTTCTCCTTCACTGATCATTCTTTCCCAGCATGCTGTCTTTTTTTCTCCTCTGACAACCTGAAAGTATGTTAATAGTAAAGATAAAAACAAAGGGAAAGATTTCACTGAACACATCTACATCCTGTATTTCCTTTTAGTCTCTCTCCAGCATGAAATATTCAAGAGCAAATCAAACCTGCATTCAGGCACAGTGACACAACACATCATCTCCTGGAGAACATTTGCTAAACTTTTACTTTAAAAAAACAAACCAACTTTTGCATGTTGCTCTAGCCTTTATTGAACTAACTTTTGTTGTTGTTGATTGCCTTCAATTAGCAGGAGAACTCATAGTGACCCTATGAACAAAAGGCCTGAAGCCCCTCTACAACTATTGACATTTATCAAAGTTCATAGAGTTTCCAGAGGCATGTTGTTTAGGAAGTTGATGCCATTCCTGCTTCCAAGCCTGTCATAGTATGTTATTGTTGTTATATGCTGTTGAGTCACTTGCAATGCATAGTGATCCTATGTACAACAGCTCTGAAACCTTCGCTGTCCTGACCCAGTCTGACTTACTCTGACACATCAACCCCCAAACCCCATTGCCCCAGTCACTATATCAATACATGTTGTCCAGAGTCTCCCTCTCCTATGGAATCACTATTGTTGCCAGATACACAGAGTTAACACTTTTTTTTCCATTGAGGCATTTTATTTGCACTGTTTGTTTATTACATCTCTAGAAAAAGAATCCCAGGATTTTTCCTCCTGTGTATTTTCGTCTTGCTTCCTCATGGTCCATGATGCCAGCTGAGGTTGTCAGTACAATGAAACCAAACTGACGGGACAGGAGCAGATTATTCTGCCATTTTTCTAGATCTTTGAGCTGCACATCAAATCTGGGGCTGATAACGCCACACTTGTTTAACCTGCCTGTGAGGTTGACAACAATTTTCCCCGCTCTGTGATCATCAATGATTTCAAATTCGCCAATGTAGCTATGCTTCACCATCACGGTCAGGAACCACACGATGACTTTGGAGCACGGCCTGATGAGAACCTGGCGCTTGCCTCTCTTCTCGGCACTGTTGATGCTCTTGAGAGCATCAGCCAGGACGTTCATGTGCACCATTGTGGCGGCACGGAAAGATGGCAGAAAGAGCAGAGTTAACACTTTTAATGCACATTTTAGGGCACTATGTGATTTGTGTCCGCAAGCCTGTCTAGCTGTTGAACAACAAGAAATATATTCTGTTTGGCTTGATTTTAAGTGCCATCAAGTTGCCTACTACTCATAATGACCTTGATGGACTAGCTAAAGCAAATTCTTCTGATTGGCTTCTTGTTGTGGTGGTGGTTGCTGGGTGTCATCGAGTTGAGATCAACTCATAGCAATCCTATGACAACAACTCTAAAACATGTGTTATCCTGTGCCATCCACATCATCTCTGACAAACTTGAGTTCATTGCAGCAGTCACTTTGTCAATCCATTTGGTTGGAGGATCTTTCTGTTTTTCACCTACCTTCCAACTTTCCAAGCCTGAATGTCCCTCTCCAAGGAGTAGCCTCTTCTAGTAGTAACATGCCCAAAGCGCGTGAGAAAAAGCTTTGTAATTTTTGCCTTCAGCCAGCACTCTGGTTGAACATTCTCTAAGACATCTCTTTATTCTTTTGGCAATCTATGGGATTCTCAGTCTCAGTTGCCATATCTGCTAGTCTACTCTAAATGTGTTATATTGTACAGAGAGTTTTTGAAGTCCTGTTATTTTGGAAGTGGATTGCCAATCTTTCTGTTGACAGTATCTGACAGACAAGCATTTTACAAAAAGGAACAGATAAAAGACACATCTCCATTATAGAAGTAACCAGTAGACTCATTGTCGGTCCCTCACCTCTTGGCATGTGTGTCTTTTTTCCATCTCTTTCCCTGCTCTACCAGCATCCCCTTCCACTCCCACCTACCCTGTTTAACAGTTCCCTTCCCCTATCAAACCCTTGATACGATGGCTTAGGTCTCAATTCGCTTCTGTGATTCCTAACTCCCTAGGTTGCTGTAGGTCTCTCTTCAGTTTAAAAATCTTTAAGTTAAAATTCTAAGGACTAGGTTTCGGAAAGGATTTCTATCACAGACAATTCTGAGGAAAAGTCCTTTGGCCCTGAGTTTCTACTCCAGGACTGACTTCGTTTGACTTATAGTGCCTCTACTCTTCCATTTGCAGCATGCTCTGTCACAGTAGGATAGTATCCCAGAGATGGTCATGTCTCCACTAGATCTGGTATGGAAGTGTTTTCTTGACCTGAGGGCTGCAGGCCTAAGGGCCTGAAACTGGTTATAATGCAGGCCTTGTGTTGCTTGAGTCCTCTGTCAGCTGAGCCCAGTGGGATTCTGGGAGGGTGAGCATTATCTGATTTGTTGTTGTTGTTGTTGTTGTTGTTATGTGCCATCAAGTCATTTGCGACTCATAGTGACCCTATGTACAACAGCCCTAAACCGTGCTCTATCCTGTGCCAATCTCATTGCCTTTGACACACCCATCCCGGTTACCCCAGTCATTGAATCAATCCACCTCATAGAGGGTCTTCCCTTCCTGCGCTGTCCCTCTATTCTACCCAGCATGATGTCCCTCTCTAAAGACCTGTCTCTCCTTACAACATGTCCAAAGTATGTCAGACAAAGCCCCAGAATCCTTGC